GTAGAAAAATGATTAAGATTTTCAAGTTTGATTTTCAAATTCATAAAAATCAAAAAAAATTGATATTTTTACAATATTTTACAATTAATTAATTAAAGAAATTATTGATTTAATAATAGACTATTATAACCAAATTCATATTCGAAATTCTTTAAATAATCACCAGATTTTTGAATAAAAATTTTAATTCAAATGGTTTAGTTAAATTGATAATTTATCGAATAAAATGAGTGTCAAAAAAATAATAATAAATGAAATGAACAGATTTCTAATATATTTAATTGTTCAAATATTTTTCCTAGATTGATTATAAGTTTAAATTGACGTAATATAAAATAATAAGAAATAATTATAAAATTTATAATTAATTAATAAAATATTTGAAACTTTATAGTGCTGGCCCGAATTACGAAATTTAAATCACGTGACTACGGCTAAATAGTTTAGCCACCGGGTAAGTTATGTTATACAAAATTTTATTATAGATATTTGTATCCCACAAAATTTTGAACTGTATTACACAAGGGATGTAATTCCGGCCAGAATTATAACTTGGCAGGATTTATGCTGATCACATTTAATTCTGGCCAGAATTATCAAATATATACGAATCGGTTATTCAGTTTCAATCGGGTTTTGCGAAATCGGTTTGAAACGGATTGAACCGGTTGTGCTCGTTTTAAATTCAGTTTTCGAAAATAAAACTGGTTCTAAACTCTAGTCTGGAAGATGCCCATTTATAAGCAAATATGCAGTTGAATTTTATGTAACCTTACTGCATAAATCACTTTACTTAGGAAAATCTATTTATAATGGTTAAAAGTGGTCTATTTGACCCTAAAAGTGGTCAAATGTAATCATACAAGTAAGATGGAAAGTAGTATAGTAGGATTACCCCAAAATTGCTTTCCATATTCTAAATTTAAGTCTATTTTCAAGTTGTACAATAATTATAATTTTTATTGTACAAAAATTGAATGTTTTCTGTATCCTAAATTTAAGTTGTATAAAGATCACACAAAAATTGAACATTTTCTATATCCTATATTTAAGTTGTATAAAAATTGCATACTTTTAATATGCTATGAAAAACTTCATAGCTATTTTTATCCAAAAATCTGCAATAATTGTACAATTTCCACATGGACTTGAACAAATATTGTACAAAAATTGAATGATTTTTTTTCATAGGGCTATCTGGTCAGTTTGAAAATTAATTAATTACCTACTAGGGGTAAACTGATTAATGTTTAATATATCTTTCCCATTGACCTTATTTCTACGTAACATTTCCTTCAAGTCATCGAGAGATTTAAGTGAAAAATAGTTTCTTATTTTTTGGCCAAAACCTTCGATAAATTTTGCAAGTGTTGTTGCTGATTCTAATGCTAACCCAATACTGCGAAATTTTTCTTCCGTCAACTCAAGGAAGGCAAGACCAGAAATTTTCTCTTTATGAAGAATTTTAATATCATCTTTATTAAGTTTTAAGTTTTTCCTCCCCAAATAATCGATAAGCTCCTCTGTATTAAAATCCTTAACCACATCCGACATTGTTCTAGTGGAAATTTCTTCCGTTATTAAGGCGGGTGAAGCGGATGAAGAAGCTTGTGAAGACATGGTTTTTATATATGTGAGTTTGTGCTTGCGAAAAAATGTGCACTTGACTGCTGTTACAGGTAAAGCTGGTCTATGGATATAAAAGTATTTTTGGTTTCCGGTATAAGTGCTCATGTGGAAAATGATAGATTTTTGGTATCAATTCATAATGCATTTACCCAATATATATGCAATTAAGATGTAGTACAGGATTGTTAGACGATTATATTACATCATTACACGTGACATTTATCAAAGATTTACGACAAAAACATAATACATGCTTTATTTAAATAAAAAAACACTGCCAGAGTATCTAATACATAAAAAATTGTGAATATATCGCTACATGATATGCATGAAAGAATTCTAACTATTGAAGGTATATGAGGATGAGACCCTCTTCAATGTGATCGATATTAAAATACTTGGAAATCATATCATCTTGTTTCAACGCTTTTGCCGGCCCTTTTGAATTATCCACGTAGAGCTTAATCTCATCAGGAACCTGCTTATAAAGTATTGTCATTCTTTTTTTAATAGTAGGTATGGCATCTTTGACCAATGTTTGCCAGGCTATTTTGATTATGAAGATTTCGTCATCCGATTTATCATGGACTTTAAACCTGAAGTCAATAATATTGGCCATTTTTTTTCATTTCCTAAATACAAGGCTCATAGTGAGAAAAAACTCGCTTCCATACATACATAATTTAGGGCATATACATACCTTATTTTGCGAGAAAGTTTTTTGCGGAAAGTTGGCAGAACTTCCACATACTCCTACATGCTTTATATCTTGCTGGGAAAAAAGATAAAGAGGTATGAGGCGTGATTAGTGTTGTCGTCTGATACCAAGAGCTTCATGAAAGCACATGCAAATAAACTTTCGTACCTTTTCACATGGAGATCTACCAGAGAGACACATAGTTGGTCTTACGCCTGACGATCTCGAAATTGTGACTCCCTCAGCCTTTCATAACATATGCTTTTGTCGTCAATATTTACTTTTAGAGCTGGTTCTGTGTTGCAACTAGATCCCCTTTCACATTTTCTCACATTCGTTTGGAAAAAAAAATAAAGAATAAAGGTTAATATGTTTTTCGAATATATATGCAAAAATTATTATATCGCACAAGACCTGACTGATGATCAGCCTATTTTTGTCGCACAATCTGTGGCCTAGCAAAAATCTTCCGAGCTGATGATTATGAGAATCGCCTCACGGCCTGCTCCAGACTAGCTAGATTGGTAAAGTACGGTACCATTCTGATCATTGATTGGCTAGTATTCTATCACCAGCTCTCGATATTAAGGTGGAAATATTACCTTGAGTCGGTGAATGTCTGTTCATAACTATAATGTGGTGATCGTCATCAGAATCAACCGTCATGAAACTAAGATGCTGGTATATATAACTAAGGTAGAACTGAATTCAGATTATTACCAATACTATGCTGAATGTTATATATCCGTCCTATCTCTTGATCTAATTCAGTTCACATATCTATAGAATTTATGAAATCCTCAATATGGATATTTGGATTAAGTAAAACGAGCTGATCTATGGCTTCTTTAGTAATATTAGCACACCCCTCCAGATTAAGATGTTTTAAATAAAGACACGAACGAGAAATTTCTTTGATAGTTACATCAGTAATTCCACAAAAACTAAGGTTGAGATGTTGGAGATTTGGACAGAAATGAATGGCATTGCAAATTGAAGTCTCGGCGACGTAAACACACCTACCAAAATCAAGATACTCTACACTAAGATGTTTCTCTACATTAAGGTGTTTCTCTACAGCAAGAAGTTTTTCTACTAATATATCACATCTATTTTTTCTTTGACAGCTACCCGGAATACTAAATCTTCGTAAATTTGGGCATGAGTTTAAGATGTGACTTATAAATCTTTCAGAAATCAAATGCACACAAGCAAAATGAAACTCTTGTAAAGCTTGGCAACTGTCTGCAATTTTGATTAAAGATCTATCAGTAATGCCTTGGCAAAAAGAAATATTTAGATATTCTATTTTACGACATGATCCCACCATTCCACATAAAGCTTTATCACCCATAATACACTACTACATAAATTAAGATATTTCAGATTGGGGTAAAGTGGATTATAGTATGGAATTTCGAGATGGGTTAGTTTCAAGCTATAAATTGGCTTTTGCTTCCCACATACTAATTCCATGAATTTCTTTGCTTTGGGATCGTTCCCTTTAGCTCAATGCGTCACCACTCACTATAGAATAGGGGCACCGCATCTGTACCACAATCGGGAAACATATAGAGCGGGGTAGATGGATTTATCTATCAATAAGAAATGTAAAATATGTTCTAGTACTTCTGGTAAATAAAAGATGGTTAAATGCATCATGTGAAGCGTCTCTAGCTAAATAGTCTGTATTATATGTTGTATCTTTAATCGAAAAAATAAATTAGCCAAGCTGGTAGATCACTGCTCCAGACCCTACACCTCTGCATTTTGCTTGTCTAGTCCAAATATCTAGGCTAATTTCTCTGTATCTGATAACTGATTTTGATCAGTTACTATTTTTGCGATATTTCATATATGACATATCTTTAGGCGAACGAAAAAATAAAATCAACTGACCTGTTTCCTCTAGGATCCCCTCTAACCCATATATGTGATTAGTTTTCATCAGAAATCCAGAATGGTTTTGCTTGATCATAAGGTTGTCTTTTCCTTCTAAAATTAACTATAGTATATTTATCAGATGGAGAAGCATGGTTATCAGGCAAATGTCGAAAGGCTTCACTGGCATAAGTATTAGCTTTTGACAGATTTTTAGGCCCATGCACTACAGAAGCAAATACCGCCCCTAATTTGCGCAAGGAACTAGGGAGTAATGGCTCATAAGGTTTAAGAATATATTTATCTTTTTTTAGAAATGAACTTAAGTATGTTGATCTAGGCTTTCCTGGATCTTTTAACACTCTGAAAACGATTGCTTCCTGAATCCATGTAAGCAATTGTTTTGCTCGCTCCTCATTTTTTTTCAGTGATCTAAACACCCAAGGAACATCCTGTTAGCCTCAGTTTTTTGTATATCCAGTTACACCCCCATTTGCTATGCGCAAGTTTTTAATTTCAGCAGGATGGATACAGAGCATGATTATTACATCAGCTAGAGTCTGTTTATCGGGTGTGTTAGATACAACATATAAATCTAGCCGTTCCTTAACTAATTCTAACGAGAAGTAGTCCAGATAATGAAGTCCTTCATTTTTATGTTGCTCAGTACGCTTCTGTTGGATTTTATTAGATGCTCTGATTATCTCCAGAATCTTGGTAGCAGAGATTATTTTTTCTGAAGCATTGAGGGTCCGCAATTCTCTTTGAAGCCTGGAGAGACGTGATGAGGCAACGATAGGATCAGAGGTAGTTTTAGCTAAGGTTCTAGATATCGCTTTTACATTTCTTTTATTAAGATTATCTTGAACAATACGCTGAGCTATTTCTCTAATAGTCTCGCCTTCTGAGGTGTTCTCAAATACTAGGCTTATATTCACTTTAGCTTCTAATCCTAGTTCCTCTAGGATCGGTACTTGACTTATATACCACTCAATTCTCTAGTCAGAAATCAATGCGAATGCCTGTACTTTGCTAAATTTATATCCTTTTTGAAGATGATTACGAGCCTGACGTCTTTTCTCTCTATCATCTCCCAAGAGGTCACACATTTCTGGTGCATACCGACTGAGCTCTTCGATACTCATCTTATTGGTGAGTTGGTAGTCTGTACATCTGCAAATTGAATACGGCGTAATATTACGAAAATTTACGCCTGCGAAATACTCTGTAAATTTACATGACCTTCGAAAAATTACGCAACAGTAATATTTCGTAATTTCAACGCAATATTTCATAAGTTTACGCATAATATTTCGTAGAATTACAGTGTAATATTGCCATGTATGTAAATTTTACATCGTAGAATTTCTTAGATTTACGGTGCAATATTTCGAAACTTTTCAAAAGTGTAATATTTCGTAATTTTACGTTGTAGGATTTTCGTAGGTTTACGGGTGCAATATTTCGAAACTTTTCAAAAGTGTAATATTTCGTAATTTTATGTCGTAGGATTTTCGTAGGTTTACAGGTGCAATATTTCGAAACTTTTCAAAAGTGTAATATTTCGTAATTTTACATCGTAGGATTTTTGTAAGTTTACAGGTGCAATATTTCGAAACTTTTCGAAAATGTAATATTTCGTAATTTTACGTCATAGGATTTCGTAGGTTTACGGTATAATATTTCGAAACTTTTCTGAAGGTATAATATTTCGTAATTTTACATCGCAGAATTTCGTAGGTTTACGGTATAATATTTCTAAACTTTTCCTAAATTATAACATTTCGTAATTTTACATCGCAGAATTTCGCAGGTTTACGGTACAATATTTCGAAACTTTTCCAAAATATTATTATTTCGCGAACTTTTTTTACAAATTCAAGTGATTAATATATGTAATTACAAAATAATATTTTTCACTGTAACTTACACGTAATATTTTATAAATTTATGTAATTTTTGTATTTTTATTCGAAATATAGCTACAATAAATAATTTGTATTTAAAACTATCATAATATTGCGTTCAATCTCGTCAATAGAATTTTTTTAATCTTATTTGTCGCTCATCTTCATTTATTTGACTTTCGTTCTTTGACTTTTTATTTTTCAACTTCACTTCTATTTCATCTGTGATTAATATTTTGCTATATCTGATATTATAAAATAAAAGTCATTTGGATAACATTATTTGTTAATATCAAAAGGATGTGTTGTAAAGACAAATTGTTATTAAAACTTAACCTATAAACATAATTGTAATAAAGTCGTACGAACATTAACGAAATTATGAAGTACATACCTTCAGTCCTTTTACACTGCTACGTTGATAGCATGCGTTAAATTCATTTCTGCATCAACGAATATTACAAGATCAAAAGTTAGACCAACAGTTATCATTATGCGTGATTATTAATATTTTTTATAAAAAAAAAAGTAAACTTACGAACATTAACGAAATTGTGAGGTACATACCTTCCACTCCTTCTACACTATTACGTTGAGAACATGCGTTAAATTCATCTCTACATCAAACAAACATTACAAGTTCAAAAAGTTGGACCAAACAGTTGTGATTATTATTAAAAAGTTGTAAACATACGAACATTAACGAAATTAAGGAATACATACCTTCCATCCCTTCTACACTATTACGTTGGGAGCACGCGTTAACTTTATTTCTACAAGTTCAAAAGGTTAAACCAACAGTTTCAATATGCGTGATTATTAATATTTTTTATAAAAAAGACGTAAACATACGAACATTAACGAAATCGTGAAGTACATACCTTCCATTCCTTCTACACTACTACGTTGAGAGCGTTAAATTCATTTCTGCATCAACGAATATTCAAGTTCAATAAGTTGGGCCAACAGTTGTCATTTTATGTGATTATTAATATTTTATAAAAAAGACGTAAACATACGAACATTAACGAAATTATAAAGTACAAATACCTTCCATTCCTTCTACACTACTACATTGAAAGCACGCGTTAACTTTATTTCTACAAGTTCAAAAAGTTAAACCAACAGTTCATTATGCGTGATTATTAATATTTTTTATAAAAAAGACGTAAACACATTAACGAAATTACAAAGTACAAATACCTTCCATTCCTTCTACACTACTACATTGAGAGCACGCGTTAATTTTATTTTTACTTTATAAGTTCAAAAGTTAGACCAACAGTTATAATTATTAATATTGTATAAAATAGTTAAATTATGGAGTATAAATACTTTCCATACCTTTACCATTATATTGTACGCAAACTTTCCATGAACAATTATTAATATTATGAAATAGTCGTAAACCTACGAATATTAATGAAATTATGAAATATAAATAACTTCCATACTTCTACTATATTGAAAGTACGCGTTCATTTTTCCAGCAGCTGTTGCAAAGCTTTTTCATGTATAATTTATTAATATTATAAATATTCATAAAGCCTATGAATATATATAAATACTTTCCATGATACTTCTGCTAGTCTTCTGCTACGCAAATGTACAATGAGCGGTCCTTGCAAAATAGAGCGTATAGAGAATATTAAGTTTGTTTATTTAATTCGTGTTTAGCTATTTTTAGATGATCACATGAACACATGTATATGCCATAATAGGTTAATTTATCAAATTTACTAGATTTATAAAATTAATTCGTAATCTGTGAGTCAAATTATATGATTTTGGTAGAGTCCTAAAGAATTCTGACCTCGACTATTAAAAAAAAATTCTTGCATGATAAATATAAAATTAAGAGAAATATGCATGACGTGTTGATAATATATACTATATAAATAATATAACAAATAACTAGAGGTTAATTTGTAACACTTTTCACAAATTTATAATTTCTTATGGTCGGCACTCGGCATCAGACTTGATAGAAATAAATTTAACTTTCCAAATATTGCGAAAGAGGAACAAAAAAATGAATTTTAACAAAATTGATAAATTTTGTGCGATCAAATTCAAAATAATTTTGTGTTTCATGGATAAAAATTCTTTTATTTGTTTAACAGTTATCAGCCAAATGAGAAAAACTCAAATTAATAAATTTTATATACAAATTAATCGCAAAAACATAAAATTCACCAGTCCTGCCACACCAATAAAAAAAAAATATCTTATGCATACAATAAAATTCACCTTATTATACATCATCATCTTCATCTTCAGTTTCATTTCCGCTTTCTTCTTCCTCATAGCTATTATCTTCAAAATCGGAATATCTTATGCCCGTTTGACTGTTGATTTTTTTCTTTAAAGAATAATATGATTAGCCATGAAATGATATTTTATTAAATGCTACTACAAAATTACAAACTTACTAAAAATTTTTTAACTTTTTGTTTCATGATATTCTTTTTACACCTTATTTCGTCATGATTTGGGTTTAAAATTGTTGAGCAGATCGCAAGAACATATGCAAGTTCTGCATTAGAATGGTCATTTTGGAGGGCTCTGTCAATAACGCTTGCTAAAACAATCGAAGAATTTTTGTCCTTGGGATTCATTTTTTTGAACAGGCCTTCAAAACAATCTTTAACTTCGGGTTTTCTCTCCCACTTTGCTACTTCAGACGGCCCGGCATTTGTGTTTATAGGTGGTAAACGGGATCCGAATATAGAAAAAATAGCCTCCCTTGATTTCGAGGACAATGTTCCTCTTACGGACCGTACTTGTTTTGTTAACTTTACGAAGAAAGTTAATACTTAATATTTTATTTTATTTTATTAAACATTTTGTTATCGAATAAGGACTTACTTGTTTATGTATATTCTCGTTGTAATACGTGATCCAATCGTCTTCAGTAAAATTAGAGAAAAAACTCGCATGGTTCAGTACTAAATATCCTTCAATCAAAATAATTAGAACGTAAATAAATAATAAAATTAAATATTTCAAAGATATTCCTACCACTATGAATGATTCTTTAACGCTTGATGACAAATTTATTTTATCAGAAAGTAAATTTTTTAATTCGGATTTAAACTCGTGTATTTCTTTACTTAAAGTATCGATTTTATTTTCAATCTTTGTTAATCGATCTACCATAATTACAATAAATATTAATTACAAGATAATTTTATTAATTTCTTAAATATTTGCGAATACCTTCAATTTTTGAATTTACAGGAAGCCATCTCTTAGTCTGAAGAACGTTAACTTCGTCATTGATGGTTTCGCTGGTGTTGATGTTGGTTTTACTGTTGTTGTTTCTGCTTCGGCTTCGGCTTCTATCACTGCGCTTGTGATTCCCTTCGATTAGCAATTCCTCAATTTTCTTACGAGAGGATTCTCTCAATTTATTTCCTGATTCCATAATGATACTTTTGAAAAAGTGGGATTTCTTACAATTTAAGAAAAAAAAATATTTCTGAAGGAAAAAAATTGACCATTATTTATGAAAAAAAAAAACTCTTTAAACCCAAATCAAGCAATTTTTCGTACCAGTCATTAACAGAAACTTTCGAATACTCAATAATTACATCATGCAAATTTTCGTACCAGTCATTAAGCAGAACCGCAGAAACTCTCTTAGTAATAATTATGTCAGTTGAGGAAATAAAAACAAATGCACATGAACATAAGGATAAATTCGCATAATTACTCATTATTCTAAACCAGGAAAAGAAACTTTCTTAGTAATAATTATGTCAGTCGAGGAAATAAAAACAAATGCACGTGAACATAAGGATAAATCGCATAATTACTCATTATTCTAAACCAGGAAATTTTTTCGTACAATTCGCATAATTACTCATTATTCTAAACCAAGCAAAGAAACTTTCTTAGTAATAATTATGTCAGTTGAGGAAATAAAAACAAATGCACGTGAACATAAGGATAAATTCACATAATTTCGATTACTTACTCATTATTCTAAACCAGGTAATTTTTTCGTACCAGTCATTAAAGTAGAACCGCAGAAACTTTCTTAGTAATAATTATGTCAGTTGAGGAAATAAAAACACGCACGTGAACATAAGGATAATTTCGATTACTTACTCATTATTCTAAACCAGGCGTACCAGTCATTAAAGCAGTAACCGCAGAAACCTTCGAATATTCAATAATTATATCACTTTATATGGAAATAAATAATTACGCGTGAACATGAGTTTTTTCCTTGTTATTATTATGGATAGAACCGCATGATTTCGATACTTACTCATTATACTAAACCAAGCAATTTTTCGTACAAGTCATTAAAGTAGAATCCGCAGGAACCTTGAACCTTCGAATATTTAATAATTATATCATTGTTATATCATATATGGAAATAAAACATAAACACGTGAACATGAGTTTTATTATTATGGATAGAAATTCGCATGATTTCGATACTTACTCATTATACTAAACCAAGCAATTTTTCGTACAAGTCATTAAAGTAGAATTCGCAGGAACTGCAGAAACCTTCGCATACTTAGTAGTAATAATTATGTCAGTCGTATCTTACATGGAAACAATAAAAATTAAAGTTTTTCTTTGTACGATAAAAAATTTATATAATTTCGAAAACATAAGCATGCATACACATTATAAAAAATCTAATGATACACTCCTGAGTGAAATAAAATTCCAACTCATTATATATTAGTCAGGGTTGTTTGATCAGCATTTTTTGATCACGAATTTATTAGTTGGTGTGACCGATCAGACAATGAACTCCAGTCTAACCAATAAAAAATAGAACAATTTTACACATTCAATTGTAACTATGAATTTTAACAAAATTGCGATCAAATTCAAAATAATTTTTTGTTTTTCATGTATAAAAATTCTTTTATTGTTTAACAGTTATCAGCCAAATGAGAAAAACTCATATTAATAAAATTATATATATAAATTAATCGCAAAAACGTAAAATTTATTGATTTGTTTTTGTTTTTTGAAGAGAGATGCTCTTTTAAATGATTATCAAATAAATTTAATTTATAAAATTTAGAGGAGTGGGGTATTTTTTTTTTTGAAATTGTACATATCAATTACTAATTCGTAATATTATATATATTATTAATATATTCACCAGTCCTGCCAAACCAATAAAAAAAATAATAAATTTATTAAAACAAATAAATATATATATAATTATCTTATGCATATAATAAAATTCACCTTATTATACATCATCACATCATCATCTTCATTATCTTTAGTTTCATTTCCACTTTCTTCTTCCTCATAGCTATTATCTTCAAAATCAGAATATTTTATGTCCGTTTGATTATTTATTTTTTTCTTTAAAGAATAATATGATTGATTAGCCATGAAATGATATTTTATTAAATACTACTACAAAATTACAAACTTACTAAAAATTTTTTAACTTTTTGTTTCATGATATTCTTTTTCAACATGATTTCGTCATGATTTGGGTTCAAAATTGTTGAGCAGATCACAAGAACATATGCGATTTCTGCATTAGAATAGTCATTTTGGAGGACTCTGTCAATAACGCTCACTAAAACAATCGAAGAATTTTTGTCCTTGGGATTCATCTTTGTAAACAGGCTTTCATAACAACTTTTAACCTCGGGTTTTCTTTTCCATTTTGCAATTTCAGACGGCCCGGCATTTGTGTTTATAGGTAATAAACGGGATCCGAATATAGAAAAAATAGCCTCCCTTGATTTCGAGGACAATGTTCCTCTTACGGACCGTACTTATTTTGTTAACTACGAAGAAAGTTAATACTTAATATTTTATTTTATTTTATTAAACATTTTGTTACTATCGAATAAGGACTTACTTGTTTATGTATATTTTCGTTGTAAAACGAGATCCAATCGTCTTCAGTAAAATTAGAGAAAAAACTCGCATGGTTCAGTACTAAATATCCTTCAACCGCTCCACAACATTCATCTTTTGTTGGGTAAATCGATACTTTTATTAATAATTTCGAATCATTTTTCACAACATCCTAAAATTAGTTTAAATTCAAAATAATTAGAATGTAAATAAATAATAAAACTAAATATTTTAAAGATATTCTTACCGCTATGAATGATTCTTTAACGCTTGATGTCAAATTTATTTTATCAGAAAGTAAAGTTTTTAACTCTGATTTAAACTCTTGTATTTCTTTACTTAAAGTATCGATTTTATTTTCAATCTTTGTTAATCGATCTACCATAATTACAATAAATATTAATTAATTACAAGATAATTTTATTAATTTCTTAAATATTTGCGAATACCTTCAATTTTTGAATTTACAGGAAGCCATCTCTTAGTCTGAGTAACATAAATTTCGTCATTGATGGTTTCGTTGGTGTTGATGTTAGTTTTACTGCTGTTGCTTCTGCTTCTGCTTTGGCCTCTATCACTGCGCTTATGATTCCCTTCGATTAGCAATTCCTCAATTTTCTTACAAGAGGATTCTCTCAATTTATTTCCTGATTCCATAATGATACTTTTGAATAATGGGATTTTTTACAATTTAAGAAAAAAAGAAATATTTCTGAAGAAAAAAAATTGGTCCTTATTTATGAAAAAAAAAACTCTTTAACCCTAAATCAAGCAATTTTTCGTACCAGTCATTAACAGAAACTTTCGAATACTCAATAATTACATCATGCAAATTTTCGTACCAGTCATTAAGCAGAACTGCAGAAACTCTCTTAGTAATAATTATGTTAGTTGAGGAAATAAAAACATATACACATGAACATAAGGATAAATTCGCATAATTACTCATTATTCTAAACCAGGAAAAGAAACTTTCTTAGTAATAATTATGTCAGACGAGGAAATAAAAACAAATGCACGTGAACATAAGGATAAATCGCATAATTACTCATTATTCTAAACCAGGAAAAGAAACTTTCTTAGTAATAATTATGTCAGTCGAGAAAATAAAAACACATGCACGTGAACATAGGCATAATTACTCATTATTCTAAACCAGGCAAAGAAACTTTCTTAGTAATAATTATGTCAGTTGAGGAAATAAAAACACGCACGTGAACATAAGGATAATTTCGATTACTTACTCATTATTCTAAAACCAGGCGTACCAGTCATTAAAGCAGTAACCGCAGAAACCTTCGAATATTCGATAATTATATCACTTTATATGGAACATGAGTTTTTTCCTTGTTATTATTATGGATAGAACCGCATGATTTCGATACTTACTCATTATACTAAACCAAGCAATTTTTCGACAAGTCATTAAAGTAGAATCCGCAGGAACCTTGAACCTTCGAATATTTAATAATTATATCATTGTTATATCATATATGGAAATAAAACATAAACACGTGAACATGAGTTTTATTATTATGGATAGAAATTCGCATGATTTCGATACTTACTCATTATACTAAACCAAGCAATTTTTCGTACAAGTCATTAAAGTAGAATTCGCAGGAACTGCAGAAACCTTCGCATACTTAGTAGTAATAATTATGTCAGTCGTATCTTACATGGAAACAATAAACATTAAAGTTTTTCTTTGTACGATAAAAAATTTATATAATTTCGAAAACATAAGCATGCATACACATTATAAAAAATCTAATGATACCACTCCTGAGTGAAATAAAATTCCAACTCATTATATATTAGTCAGGGTTGTTTGATCAGCATTTTTTGATCACGAATTTATTAGTTGGTGTAACCGATCAGACATGAACAGTCTAACCAATAAAAATGGAACAATTTACGCATTCAACCGTAACTTTACGGAAATCCATAAAACTTACCTTATCAAAAAAGGAAAAGTAATAGTCATATTTTAGATCAGTAACGTTATACAAGATATTAGTATCGCTGTCGTTAAATATAATAAACTTTATTAAAATATGTATTTATTTACAAAATATTCATTTGTTTTATTAAACCGGGGTACTATATGTACGATATCTTGTATTGCTTCTATATCAATAAAGTTATAGATTTCCGTAATTTCTAGTAAGGGACACCCATAAAGATGTGGTTGATTTTGAAATTTGAAGTCATACCACTGAATTAATGCGAGATTTAATGGAATATTTTGATTCTTAAGTTCTATTTTCGCTATTAATAAAACCTTAATTTAAAAAATCATTTTTAAATTAGCAATATTATATAAATATGTAGTATCAAATCAATTAAAAAATTACCTGCCCGTAACAAATGCCTTGATCAGAAGCGTAATCAAATAATTCATCAGAATTCATACGAACAGACACATTACTATACCAAGGTCTGCCATAATAACTGTTAGTAGCAAGGATTATTGCACCATTTTCTATTATAACTGATCTGTATATTGTCACTTGGCTTTCATTTGCAATACTTTCGTGATCCATATACAGATTTAAACATTCCAAAAAATTGTCAAATCCAGATCTCATTTTGTGGTCTATATTAGCCTGTTCTACAAAAAAATCATGGGCATCTTTTAATAGAAATTCGAAAAGTATTGCTGTAAATTTAAATATACGAGGTATAGTAGCTGAATTTGGTAATCGATGGGTTATATTTGTTATTGATTGTCGCCGAATCTATAAAAATTAATTTTTTTTAGAAATTTAACATAGTATTGTGTATTTTATATAAATAATACTTGCTATTTTCATTATTTGAACTTCAATATTTTTTTTATTACTTAATCGGTAGGGATTCTTAACGTATTCTTTGTGAAGGCTTTCGTAAGTCTCCGTAGTGTATCCATTAACTGCACCAAATGATCGAATCGAATCAATTATATGATATGCCCACGAATGCAGTTTTGGTAATTTTAACTCTGAGGGGGACATACATTGGAGAATTTTTATGAACATTTGAGACCAATTGTTTATAGATTCCTGAAATTATAATTTTAAGTATTAGTGGACAGCGTTGTTTTATAATAATTATGTAGTACATACCCTAAATTTGGCCAAATCACTTTCTTTGAAATTTTCATATCGACTAATTGCATACATTTCATTCCAAGCTTCGTAAAGTTTTGCCAGATCTTCATTCTTTACAAAATTTTCATCATCCTCATTATTTACAAACAAATTGTCCACTACAAAAACCATTACTTTCATCAGATTGCGATACTCATTAGCTGTTAATCTGGCTATTGATTGTATGCCATTTGTAAAGATCTTCAAACCGGGAAATCTTGGTATTGCGGCTAATCGATGATCTACTTCATCAACTAAAGTTTTGCCACATTGCGCCCCTAAAAGTTTTTTCGTATAATCGATTTGATAATGAAAGAGGCCTAAATCGAGATGATGCATTCTATCAGGCACTGTGGCTTGATAGATATTTATATTACTTAATATAAATTAATAAAAATAAACTCATGTTAGTGTAATGCTTGTAATGCTTACGTGATTTGGCGAAATGGCTGGATGCCTAACAAATATTATGTAAACTTACGGCAGATTCCAAAAAAAATTAGATATATTTTCAATGCAAACGGAATTTCCCGAGTTTTGATTAAAATACTGCTGCATATTAACATGAGTTCGTGGTGTTATATCATCAATTTGTAAATTAAGATCAGCAAGATTGTCTCTTGTGACTAGACAAAAATGACAAGGATGTTTCGACATTGGTGATTTGTATGTAAGACAGTACGTTGCAGCTTCCGGCCAGTCAGATATTATAGCTGAAACTCTAGGATAAAACCAAATCATTTCGTTATTTAAAAATAGATCAATGCCATTTTTATTTAATTTTAATAAAGGGTCTAGTAACAATTCCAAAGATTTATGGAAGCATTCGCGAACAGCAATCTTAAATGTTTCAGACTTCCTTTCAGTAATATTATTAGATTTTAAGATCGGCAGATACGCTAATAATTGCTTTGCATCTTTCTTATTACGCCTCCAATTTTTAATATTACTAATAGACAAGTAAATGGTATGGAGTTGACTTTTTCCTAGTGTGTCAACATTTGTAGCGTCAGAATATAATATTAAAGATAAAAGCCTGGCACCAGGTGGCAGAGATTTTTCCGCATTTTCCCACCATATCCCAGTATTTTGTTCGCTAAACTCCCTTTCACCGTTATGAAAGGACCTTATTATATATATGAAGTAATCTCTAAAGGGTCATATAAAATTAAGACTATAGAAGAAAAAATATTGAAAATACCAGTAAATGGAAAATTGTTAAAGAAATATGATGTTGATAGGAATTTTGAAGTTATAACCCAATCTAACTTATTGATCTAACATATATTTAGGTTAATGCTTAAGAGAAAGAAAAATTTGCATGAATTTTTCTTAAAAAGTTTAATAAAAATATTGCAAAATATTTTAAACTGAAATGGTTCACAATGTTTTTTATAATTAAGTGAAAAACATTGTGAAAATATTTTTTTTCATATCATAATTTAATTAAAAAATGTTTTACAACTTTTTTTTGAAAATTTAAAGCAAAAATATTTTTTTTTAAAATAATTTAAGGGATGGTCCGTTAGTCAACGGGTGTGCATGATCGGCAAAAATGGAATGCTGTGTTCTTTCAAAGTAAAGTCCATGAGTAAAAAACTAATACTTTACAACTTTAGGAATATAGAAATGTAGGTTTTTGCGTATCATTTTGTGCAATTTTCAGGATAAAATAAAAAATAAAATTTGTGCAACAGAAATCGTCAAATTTGCTGCATTTTGAAATTTTATATAAAAACTGCGCATCAAATTTGTGAACTTTTTATTATGACAGATTATACATATTTTCCATTTAATTAACAGACATATAACTATATTTTTAAATTAAAATAAATTTATAATTTAATATAAAACACAATGAATAATTCTAATTTTTTAATAAACCAAAAATTTACTGATTTTGCTAAATAAAAATTTAAAAATAACAAAAAATCTAGTTTAATAATCAACTTTTTAACATTAACAAAAGTTGTTTATTTTGTCAAATTGCACTTATGAATAAAGTTTTAAAGGTGATTCTTCGTTTAGTTATCTATCTCATTTTTTACCATGAAAATAGTTTACGCAAACTATATATAAAAGTCACGTGATTTACCGCAATGCAGTAATTTGACGATCTCTGTCGCACAAATTTTATTTTTTATTTTATTCAAAAATAACTCGAAATGATAGGCAAAATCTTCATTTTTATATTTCCAAAGTTGCCAAAGTATTAGTTTTTTATTCATGGACTTTACTTTGGAAGAACATGGCATTCCATTTTTGCTGATCATTTTCTCTCGTTAAGTAATGAATCGTCACTTAATTAAAAAAAAAACATATTTTGAATTTTTGAATTGAACTTACCATATTGGCATATCCAAGTCCCAAAGCCGAAAGAATCAAACCCACAAAAAAAAAGAGAGAAAAATTAAAAAAAAAAAATAAAAAAATAAAAAGATGTAAGTTTTGCTTCAAAACTTACCAAATCCAAATCTAAAGACAAAGGAAACCAATATCTACACAAAATTTTTTTAAAAAAAATTTCGAACCCCCATTGAGTCTATGCGTTCAAAGACCCTGAAGAACCAGCGGCCTACAAAAAGAACGGAACGTTATATGTTTCGTCGAAAGAATTATTTACAAAAAACCTCACCGATTTTCCCTTCTTGTAGTCCAAGCTGGTGCTCTACAAAAAAAATATGAAAAGAAACGTTAGTTCGTTTCTCATATTTAAAATAAAAAAAATTCACTTCCTTGTGTTCAAACTGGTGTCCTCCTACGCGTCCTACAAAAAAAAAAATACTGAAAAGAAATGTTGTTTGTAACTTTAGTAATCTGTACGAGAAAATATTATTAGTTTGCAAGTCCTGGAATCGTTTCCTTGTAAATGCACAGCCACAACCATTCATACCCTTCCGGACTTCAATAATTTTTCGTCAACGCTTCTTTACATTTACGAGTTATACTCGGAGAGGAAATCTTACATCATAGAGCGTTACTGCGCTTTATTTGTAAGCCACACTGATTAGTCAAATACGGTAATCATTCGTACGACCTAAAAATTAATAAATACTCTGAGAATTCGTCGGAGAATCTGAGTATTGATAAGTATTGATTAATCAATTTTTTTCGTGTACTGATAAATTACTATTTTTATTATGCTTGCTGTATTTCGTCATAATAGTCATAATAATCAAGAGTCTAGTCACGATGTATTCAAAAAGGCATAAAAGGTATATATATAGCCTCGTTTTCTCAAACACTCTTTCCTTACTATTTTTTTTTTTTAGCAATAAAATCTTCTAACCTTTCATAAATACTTCCTACATAATTTTGATCCTAAACACTCTTTACACGTACTTGTATTATATTTTTCTTTGTTAAATATAATGAACTACATATGTCTGATGTTTTAATTCTTTATTCTTTCTATTCAGAGTCTCCAAAATGGAATTGTCGCTAAATTGTTTTGTTCTAGGCGACAATGATACTTTTACGGCTGTCGTTCCAAAAAAATATATCAGCGACAGTAATTTGACTGAAATCGTATATAGCGCTTTAACCGTTTCAAACTTTACAAAGATAATTGAAAACCAAGTTGAACATGCAGTTCCTAACCCCAAAGATCCAAACAGTATGACACTTTGGAAAGTTGATATCGACGATGGAAGTCTTAAAGATATTTCTACCGTAAAAGACATTGAAGACAATTTTAACGGCAAGAAGATGAAACGTGCATACCTGCTTAGCGACTATTTTCCTAAGGATACTGTACCTACATTGAGGAATATTCATATTATCATAGTCCCCGCCACTAGTAAGTGTCTCCCAACGTTTTCATCTTATGTGAATTGTTTATTGACCTTTTTTTTGCGCTTCTTCTTTTTTAGATACTTCAAACAAAAGGATAAAGCTCGAAGGTAAAGTTGTTAATTGGTGGTGGTTTGTTCCTAGTATAGTTTTATTTGATTTTTAGTACTAATAGTCATATTCTTTTTTCATTCGATGAAGATATTGGAATAGGACATATACATGATAAGACAACCGAATATTTACAAGAACTCTTGAGTCCTTTTAATGAACCAGTCTATTGTGATAATGTCGATTTATACTTTAAGGCACCGCTACAAAGGAAATTGGTAGCCTCCCACTATCTATGTAAGGAGTATCCTGCCTATTTTGATCAAGAAGATTTAGAGTTTCTTCCTGACGTAACGCTTGCTGTTGGGGATGCTATGGAACTCTATACGGGTAAGGATAACCAGGAGATGGAAACCAGTTATATGGTCGACAATGTCATTCGGAAAATGGTTAAACTTGCTATTAGATATATTGGTAAATCTGGATTTGAATGGGCTCGCAACAATAAAATGAATGAGTACACTACAACAACAACACACAAGAGAAATGTCCGACCAGATGTATTAGTTTATTGTGATGAAGTACTTGTAATATTGGGCGAGGTGAAAGCTGATCATTCAACACTTGCAACTGCAGCGGAAGATTTAGATTATTACTTTAATAATTGGAACACGCTTGCCTTTGGTGACTTACCACTTGTTTTTGCCTTTGCAGCAGTTGGTTCATATATACAATTTTATTATTTTCACAAAGTTGAATCATCAACAACACCAAAACGTGAGAAAATTGGAGATGTTTTGTTGCTTGGAACTGAAGTTAAGAGTAATAACTATCTTGCAATTAAATCTGTAATTAATGTTATTCGGATTATCAGGACTTTTAAGCACTTTGGTTTATTAGAAACTCCTCGTCTTAAGTTATTTAAAACAATTTACCGAAAAAATGGCACCGCCATTACGATAAAGAGCGAAGAGATTAGAAAATCAATAAATGTGGCGAACATTATGGATCTAAAATTTCACATGGATCTTTACACAAGAATTCTTAAAGAACATTATGAGAACATTACATATAAGGAGTCTAGAGGAAGGATAAACATAACTTATGGACCAGTTGGATATTTATGTACACCTAAAAATGAAGATGAACTGCGATATGCAATATGTGATATACTTGAAATTGTAAGTAAACTTCATAGGGAGGAGGTTGTCCATCGAGACATTCGTTGGGATAATGTTGTAAAGCTCACAAATGGTAAATGGTTGTTAATTGATTTTGAGGAAGCTGCCAGAATTGGAGATGAAAGGTATAGTAGTAATGCCAATCGAACTGTTTAAGCACGCGGTTAAGTTTATTAACTGATTTTTTAATATTATTGTTAGAGATACATTGATAATTTCGGCTCCAGAATATGAAAATGGGACTGATACATGTCAAGCATCGGGTGATATCTGGATGATTGGGAAACTTATGAATGAAGTTAAATTTACACTTTCTGAAAAGGCTAAAAATTTTCGTGATAAATTGATGATTAAAGATTTTAATTTACGATTAACTGCAACTGATGCTTTAAAAGATGATTGGATTGAAGAAATGGGATGTGGATGATTTAATGGAATAGAAGTAAAAAATTTTCCCTTTCACTCTATTTCTGATTTATTGTTTGTCTTTTTCGCAATAGCTAAATTTACATAATATATTTCTGATTTTTAAATGCTTTATTGTTTTTTTATGCAAGATGTAAGATTTGTCTTTATAAAATGGGGAATAAATGACCATATTATTGTAATTGTTTAGATATCGACCTCACATTAAGAAATAAAACAAAGTTTTTGCTACGAAACATCAGAATTAAATAAATATTACAATGTTATTCTACAATAATATGTGAACTATTTTTATCTTAAAATGAATAATTGAGCTACCTTTGTCTACATTATATTGGCAATCAAAAATAACACAGTTATATGCAATAGAATAACAATGTATGGGAAACTAACTCGTAATATACAGTATGTAACACTTTCAATAAAAATTGTGCAGAAAAAAAAGGCTAATTAGCAATTAAGGAATAATCTGCCCCTTGTTCTTTGACTGCAAGGTGGAAGGGTGGAAGATAAAAAAATTTTAGAAGGGTCCTGGCTGAGATTTCAGTCACGAGATTTTTAATTAATAATTTCAAATTTGCTATTTAATACCAGTGGTAATTTTTACCAATGTGTGATAGATGTGTTCATGCGATTTTCGATTTTATTATAATCTAATAGTAATTGAAATTATTATTATGATTATAAAAAACTCTTTCCCACAAAATTCTGGATAAAAATTTTTACGTTATTTTTAAATATAATAAAAAACCTTTGTTTTCACTATATATGAAGAGTTGTGTTTGCCTTCACGCACACTTTAATGTACTTTTTAAGTTCAATTTTTTTTACCTTTATTCAGTTTACTTCCCGTAGTTTTTAAAGTTAGGAACAAAATTCTTTTTTGGCTGGTGCTATTATTATAGGAAGAATTTTATTAAATTTTCAGCAATTCTTCATAATTATGATATTTAACCAATAATGATATACTAGTAAAATAAATTTGATGTGTTAAAATCATTAAAAATCTGATATCTTTGATGATAATATTACATGGAATGGTAACCGAACTGCATCACACCAAAATTCTAACAGATCTATCGGATTGAACAGATTTCACCAGAGCGCACTTCTAGATTATTGTTTTATTATATAGCAGCATCTTATAAATTTTTTAATTTAATAAAATTACAATTTGAAAAAAAAAGATAACTATTGAAAGGAATTTGTTAAATTTCTTAAAGTGCTAATAATTTATTTAAAAATAATATCATTTTATCAACCTAGTTTAGATTGGTTTAATTTAGTTAGGTCTCTTAGTACAGGCAAGGTAAGTGGTTATGATATTAGATATATATTTATTTATTTATAATGCGATTACTCTGTTATAGAGTTTTCTGTGCCTTGTGTGCAGCATAGTGAACATTCCTATTTTATCACAAATTTGTTGATTATTTATCGATCATTTGTGTGATCTTATCACATAATACAAGTGCTGTCTATTATTTATCAACAGATAACAGGGAAATTTACTTAATACATGGCAAAATAAAATAAAATAAATAATTTACTCTTGTATTTTCAAGATCTAAACAAAAAGATTTTGTTCTTCAGTTTTATTAAAAATCCATTAATAACAAATAATTAGTTAAATTCTCTATAAGCAAAAAACCTGTATTATAGGCCAAAACCTGTATTATTTTTTTTGTTAATTATATATGATAAAAGGAATGTTTATGCAAAGTTTTAAGTTTCAGCTTTGCATATTCAGTTCTGGCTATCAATTTTATCTGGTGATTAGCCAAAATTATATTAATAATATAGTACAGTCAACTCTCTTTATAGTCACACATTTGTGACAGTCCATATTTGGTGATTATAAAGAGATGTGACTATATAAAAAATTTCTTATATTAGTATATCATAATTCTGGCCAAAAATTAACATAATTCCGGCCAAAATTATACTTAAAACTTTATTGTATCATAATTCCACCAATATTAATCGTAGAGAGATGATCTTACTGCCATTCGATTCTTTTTGATGAGACGGTTCTAATGGTATAAAATACATCGAAATCCAATCACTAGATTAATTTCCGAAATTAAAAAAATGTTAATGGTTTTTATGTAATAACTCTGCCAATATTAATTCTAGAGAGACGATCTTACTACCATTTGATTCGCCTTGATGCGACGAATCTAATGGTATAAAATACACTGAAATCCAATCACTAAATCAATTTCCAAAATTAAAAAATATTAAATAGTTTTTAAGTAGTAACTCCGTCAATATTAATCACAGAGAGATGAGCTTACCACCATTCGATTCGTCGTGATAAGGCGATTCCAACGAGCTATTAATCGTCTTTTTACAATCACTAGGTACCGAGAAATTTAGCAACATGTTAAATGTAGCAGTAAACATAAATCAAGAAATATAATAATGCTGATGCTTAACATTTTGTTGAATAACTCATCAGCCAGTAATCGTAAAAGGATAAAACAGGGTTGGTCACCCTATCTCAGTGGTTAGTCACTGAGACCCTCATTAAGCCTGAGTATGGTGAGTTCGCCAGTTCAATTCCCATGACCACGAAAATAAAAAGAATTTTACTGCAGACGCTAAAACCAATAGCGTGAAGGTACAGGGATTAGTGTAGTTAAACTGCATCATAGTGAATTAGTGTGTACAGTTAGGCAACTAAGGGCCATGGTGTCCTTCTAATGTTCCCTATGAGGCCATTGGCATGTGCACAGTCCTATCCTTGAAGTCACTACTATACCTTGAAGAGACTTCCTATCCGGGTAGTCACTCCATAATACCACTTGGGGTCAGTAATGGCTAGATGGTTGTCCTAGATGGTAAAGCTAAGGGTGCAATGTCTTTGTGGTAGTTTGACCTTCTGTTAGGTCTTAGACCAACCAAGATGTTCGTGCATAGAACAGGTAGCATGGTTATGGGGTTCGATTCCCTACTCTTTGGGTCCTGGTTAGTGATCCCTGGTGGTTGATACCTACCATAAAGGGTGATCCTGAACAGATGCCTGCTACTTCCTGCCTGAGTGGTCACTACAAAGTATACCACTTGGGGTAAACAACTGTACTATTGGTGCTAGGTAATCGCAGGCTATAGTGGCCTTTGAGTGAGATTTAGTATCTAAAATGGTGGTATGAAAAGGTACTAGATGGTTGATGTTATCTGTCGAAAGTCCTCCATGAAAGTAAGTGCTCTTTAAAGGTCATAAAAATAAATTGAGTACCAGTATCATGCAATGGATTAAGGATGAGTAGGCGGCGTATACCTAACTTCAGATCAGCCTAAAATGGCCTGATGGGAGATGTCTTTTAAGTGGTGCTGTTACCTAAGGAATTAAGTACTCGGTATAATGGTTGCCCATAGAGATGATAGGACACAAACCCGAGATTAGTCTCATAAGAGGCAATAGGTGGTCTGGCCGTAAACACTAGCAAAGTAAAAGAATAAAACATTATAAGGGTTGGTCACCCTATCTCGGTGGTTAGTCACTGAGACCTTCATTAAGCCTAAATATGGTGATGTCACAGGTTTGATTCCCATGACCACGAAAATAAAAGAATTTTACTACGGACGCTACAACCAATAGCGTGAAGGTACAGGGATTAGTGTAGTTGGACTGCATCATAGTGAATTAGTGTGTACAGTTAGGCCGTACATTTCAACTAAGGGTCATGGTGTCCTTCTAACGTTTCCTATGAGGCCATTGGCATGTGCGCAATCCTGTCCTTAAGGTCACTACTATACCTTAGGGAAACTTCCTGTCTGGATGGTCACTCCACGATACTGCTTGGGATCAGTAATGGCTAGATGGTCGTCTTAGATGGTAAAGCTGAGGGTGCAATGTCTTGGTGGTAGTTAGACCTTCTGTTAAACCAAGGTATTCGTGCACAGAACAGGTAGCATGATTATGGGGTTCGATTCCCTACTCTTTGGGTCCTAGACTCCTAGTTGGTGATCCCTGGTGGTTGATACCCACCATAAGGGGTAATCCTGGACAGATGCCTGTTACTTCCTGTCCAAATGGTCACTACAAAGTATACCACTTGGGGTAAATAACTGTACTATCAGTTCTAGGTAATCGTGGGCTGTAGTGGCCTTTGAGTGAAACTTAGTACCTAAAATGGTGGTATGGAAGGGTACTAGATGGTTGATGTTACCTGTCGAAAGTCCTCCATGAAAGTAGGTGCTCTCTAAAGGTCATAAAATAAATTGAGTACCAGTATCATGCAATGGATTAAAGATGAGTAGGCGGCATGTACCTAGCTTCAGATCAGCCTAAAATGGTCTGATGGGGGATGTCTTCTAAGTGGTGCTGTTACCTGAGGAATTAAGTACTTGGTATAATGGTTGCCTATGGAGATGATAGGACACAGACCTGAGATTAGTCTCATAAGAGGCAATGGGTGGTCTGGCCGTAAACACTAGCAAAGTAAAAGAATAAAACTACTACCATTCGATTTGTCTCAGTTAGAATATTTTAACAAGCTATGGTACATCTTTGTATGATTATTAGATACTAAGTTATTTAATATATTCTTTATATAACTGTGATTATAAATGGTTCTTTTTAATATAAGATTTTTGAGGATAGGTGTGATAGTGACTATAGATAGATTGTGACTATATAGGATAGATTTTAATAATAAAGTGTTTTGAACATTCAACTGGTGTGAATATATAGTAGAATGTGACTATAATGGGAGTGACTATAGAGGGAGTTGACTGTATACAAAAATTAAAGAATTATATTAAAATAATATAAGTTATATAACAATTAAAATACCACATTTTTGATTTATTTTGTTAGGATTTACTTTGTTAGATACTTTTTTAAAATTTTTAATTGTTTTTAATAATAAGAAAAATATGATCAGCAAATGATCGGCAAAGTGATATAAAGCATGTTCGCTATACTCTTATATGTATAGTAGACTCTAAGTATCTTATTGTATTAAGAACCATTATTTTATTTTTTAATAAAGATGTGTTACAGTTTTATAAAAAAAAAAAATAAATGATTATTTCATTAGTGCTTAATAATTACCTAAGATAAAATGATTTATCAGTTTTTCCTTCAACTCATGCTTGCCATATGGGCTGATTTGTCTCATATTACTAATTAAATTTATGTAATATAATAAATATGAATTTTGATCGACATGCCGATCAAAATAACTTGAAAAAAGTGATAATATCAAATAATGCATAATAATTTACATAACGTTTTTGTATTTAAACCAATAGTTGTAGCTTAGTACGCCTTTAAAACTAGTTTTCGCAACTTTGAAACCTGTCAGAAATTGGTTTGAAATTGGTTTTTTTGGAAAGAATTAGGCTTTTTAGGAAATAGTAAGTAGTATTCTAAAAGTTATTTTAAAGGAAATTTTCAATAATAAAATATAGAATAATAGCCATAATATCAGAATAAAGTAAAAGTAATATGTTTTTTAGTATATTTTTATAATATATGGAATAAATACTTAAAGAATCTCTTTATTAATAGACTTTTCTAATCATGTTTTTGTAAATAACTATCCAACCAGTTTAAGAATTGAAGCTCATTATCAGTCAAATGGTCAATTATATAGTTTATACTAGCTCGTAGATCTGGGCGTTACCTTGGGTTTGTCAACGTTAATGAAATTTTAAGGTTTGATTTATAAAAAATAATTTTTATTATAAATAAATTATAAGAATATTTTTTTAACTTTAAATTTATATAAATAATATTATTAATTTACTATTATAATTTAAACTTTAAATTCTATTCTTTTTTCTATTATATAAATTTAATATTATGATAAATTTTAAAATATTTAATTCTAATCATTATATTAAAATACTAACCCTAATAATCAACTTACTTTACTTACTCTCTCTAGACCTAACTAATACTAATTCTACCCTAATATAAATCTAATACTAATATTAACTTAATAATAACCCTAATCCTAATCCTAATCTTAATCCTAACCCTAACTCTAATTCTAATCCTAACTCTAACCCTAACCCTAATCCTAACCTTAACCCTAACTTTAACTCTAAACTTAACTTTAAATTTAACCTTAATTCTAATTCTAACTATATCTCCTACTAATATTTTTTTTTTTTTTTTTTTTTTTAAATGTTGAATCATGTATCATTTTTATTAGAATATATTTAGACTACATAATAATCACAACTATTCTGTAAATAATACTCCCAGCACCTGGCCAGTCTGATCAAACATTAACTATTATATTACAAATAAATTAAGAATAAAATTAAATAGTAAAAGTAAACCAAAATACTTAAACCAACATACTATACTATAAACCAAAATTAAACTAGAAAGAAAACTAAAAGAAAAATGAAAGTAAAGTAAAATAAAATAAATTATTATTATTATTATTTTTTTTTTTTTTTAAATTATTACTCCAGTAATTTTTTGCTTATGTATAATGTAACCTTATTAAACTTCTTCTTTATTGGGATCCAATCCTCACATATGTATTTCTTTATAAAGGTATCCATTGATTTCTTTACTATAGGAATTGACTTTTGTACTTGATCTGCTTTTCTTGTTTATATATCTTTTGCTTTATCTGAAGGTTGATTTAAGTTGTTGGCCATAAGTATCTGTGCCTCATTAAGAGTTATTTTAAAGTCTTTTTGTAATTTTGTTGTTAAATAAGTTTCAACTTTCACTTCCAATGCCAAGTGTTGGAACTTTTGGAATTTTTCTGATTTTGCTGTAACTCCTAATATATCTTGTATTACATTTCTAATAAAATCTTCACCTTGGCATTTAATTTGCTTTTGTTTTAAACATATAATTATAGATTCTTCTGTTGGTCACTACTAAAAAATAATCAGGAATTATATTATACAAATATTAATCAGATAGACTGGAAAATTACTTGGCTTATTTTCCATTATTGCAAAAGGTTTCACTGCACTAGTATGCAAACTAACTATTTGTGAACTTTTATAGCAAAACTATTTCATAAAATCCTTCCTTTAGGGTCCATTCTAGCATTAAGAAAGCCAAAACTTTATAAGGAAATGAAATGTATTATGAACTGTAACAAGGAGGAAAATTGGAATCACTTATTTGAATGCCAAGCATATGAATTGATTTGGCAAAAAATTTTGGAGATTACAACAGAAGAATCTATAATTATATGTTTAAAACAAAAGCAAATTAAATGCCAAAGTGAAGATTTTATTAGAAATGTAATACAAGATATATTAGGAGTTACAGCAAAATCAGAAAAATTCCAAAAGTTCCAACACTTGGCATTGGAAGTGAAAGTTGAAACTTATTTAACAACAAAATTACAAAAAGACTTTAAAATAACTCTTAATGAGGCACAGATACTTATGGCCAATATTTTAATAAGATTCATTTTAACATTTAAAGAATTATTATGGAAATCAAGATGTGAACAAGTTATTTTATGGGAAAAAAGAAAGGCATTACTCGAACAAATAAAATTACTTCAGAACCCAAAATAAAAAACAACTTAAATCAACCTTCAGATAAAGCAAAAAATATACAAACAAGAAAAGCAGATCGAGTACAAAAGTCAATTCCTATAGTAAAGAAATCAATGGATACCTTTATAAAGAAATACATATGTGAGGATTGGATTCCAATAAAGAAGAAGTTTGATAAGGTTACATTATACATAAGCAAAAAATTACTGGATTAATAATATAAAAAAAAAAAAAATTTTATTTTATTTTACTTTACTTTCATTTTTCTTTTATTTTTCTTTCTAGTTTAATTTTGGTTTATAATATAGTATGTTGGTTTAATTATTTTGGTTNAGACTGGCCAGGTGCTAGAAGTGTCATTTATAGAATAGTTGTGATTATTATGTAGTCCAAATATATTCTAATAAAATGATACATGATTCAACATTTAAAAAAAAAAAAAAAAATTATTAAAATAATATTGCATAATATACAATATAAATTAAGACTCACCATTACAACATTGCCATTTAACAAATCACGTAATAAAGGAATATTATAAGTTGCAGGATCAACTTTTATATATCAATGGTATTTATCATTTAGTTTATATTTATCACAACCAATAATATAATTAGAAGTAGATGTTTGATAGTTCTTTAGATTGATTAATTTTGGGAGATTTTGGGCGAAACTGAAATATTTAGTCATTTGACTAAACTGAAATAATTTAGACATTTAAAATTAAAAGACGAAATGCCGAAATTCAATATTCCATAGTATTTTCATAGATTTTTTATAGATTTCCATGGATTTTTAATTATAATAATTACTTATAAAAAAAAATAATAAATTTATATTAAAATATAATATTTTTTAAAGAAATTTATAAAACTATTATATGTATAATATAATTTCATATATTTTTATAATAAAACTATAATTTTATATAATTAAAATTTAAACTTAAAAATTATTACTATATAGTTTAGTCAATGACGAAACCAAAACTAGTTGGTGACGAAACCGAAATTTTTGGCAAAAAGAGTTTAGCCAGGTATCACTATTGCCAGAACAAGATATACCATTTTGTTTAAATTTACATTTAGATTTCATACTTCCAAGATATAGCTTATTATGATTTAAAGTAATTATTAAATAAAATCAATTATCATTTAACTTTTGTAACTTACACATAAAATGCACTATTGCAACTTATATATATGTATAGGTCTTTGATTTTTTTGTCTCAACATGTTTATTCTTACTGATTTCTTGCCAAAATTCTGAATCAAAATCTATTTCATTATGGCTCATATTAATAATTTCAGGATTGATAAATTCACAGTACTTGATTTCCATACAGTTTCTTTCTTCTTTTTTAACACTAATATTACCAAAAAATGAACAGTTTTTAATTGAACTTTGACTACCTTCACCTAAGGAATATTGAATTAGGAGAAAAATTTATTTGTATTATATTTAATAATTTTAATAGAATTAATAAAGCTGCAGATTAATAAATGATAATTACTTACATTTTTCCAATAGTCTCTTGAATTCTTCCAATCTGTAATATTATATATTATGGCAACACCATATTCTGAAGTTTTTGGATATTCAATTGGTACAGTAGCATAATGAACTTCTTGTATATGTGTTTTTCTTGAAAATATTGCGATTGAATCTTCTTCTTTATCACTTATATCAGTATCTTTATTACTTTTAATAGTATTACTATCACTTTCAACTTAATATTCTTTTAAGAAAGCCAAAAGAAAATTAATTTATTAAATTGAAAAACTTAGCCTCACATATTTTACTTACAGGATCTAATTCAATATAATTAATATCAAGTTCTTTTATGTCTAAAAGATCTATTTTCTTACTCATTTTTATTATTTTGGATAAGAATATTTTTTGCTAAAAGAGAAAAATTTTTTTTTGTGTAATTATAAGTCACAATAGAAAGTTTTTTTCGTGTTATATTTAATATTATTGTTTATTATATATGTTTCATTGTATTATATAAAATATTTTAGTATGATATTTATTGTGTTATATAGTATAATATTATTTTAGTATGGTGATCCTTGTCCAAAGCTTTTAGTAACTCCTATCAAACTTGCGGTATATTGGAATTTTTTCATAACGTTTAGGCTTAAAAAAGAATAAAGTATAAAGTATAATTTATAAAAAGCTATTTTATTGGATGATTACACCATCATCGCGTGATTTAAGAGTACACATCACTCAAATATTTCATGATTTACATAGAGGATTATTTGGAAAGGGTAAAAATTGATGGACAGACAACAATAATCTTCATTAATGAATTAATTACATGTACTCAAAAACTGGGTGAGCTTTTCTTCATCTGTACTATCTAAAAATTTTATTGGACGGTTCGGTTCGTGTGCGTATGCAAGTTGGTCGGTAACATCATTACCGATGAGTGCATGCTCTACTTCATCACCAGGTTTTTGATCACAGACTGTAATCTTTGCTGGGACCCATTTTGTCCAATTACACCTATCGCTGAGATGGACTTCAAACATTTTATTTGCATGGATTTCAGTTACGCCACCTCCATAACCTGAGCCTGCTATAGGTCTTAAATTCCATCCCTCATCTCCAAGTGTTCTTTTAATTTGAAATGGAAAGATCGTCGAAGGTGCACCTGTGTCTATGACGCATTCATATTTTTTATGATTATCATAACGATCATATAAGTTATAATTGATCAGAGCAACTAGTTCAGGTTCTTCAGGTCTTCTAACGCCAACTCTGGACTTTATTTGAAAAAAATTAAACTGTTTTGAGGACTACATGTACTAAAACTTATAATTAAAGTTTTAAACCCTAATTTTTTAATTTTAATTTACAATTCAAACCTTGTAATCACACCCATTATCAATGACACGCTTAGTAGTTACCATCTTTCTTTTTTTACTGCGTGGCAGACTTTTCTGATTAACTGGAAGTTGTATGGCACCAGGCATCTCTTTGAAAATGTGGTTCAATTTATCGTCGCTATACTCTTTTCCATATGCCTTTATTTCCTGGTTGTATACGGTCACCCAATCATTTTTGTGATCTAAGAATTCCCTCTTTCGAGTGCGTTGTAAAAGAATATAATGTCGCGCCTACTTTGAACATCAATATTAGACCCGGTACCAGTGATCTGGTGGAAACAATATCTCCTCATATATTCCGGCATTGAGGGGGGCCAGCTAAAGTTATTATTCGTATAAGCTATAAATAGATCAAGAAAATAAACATCAAGACACTACTATATATATTGCCATTATGCTATTCAAGAAATAAAAGTTTTATTACCAAGAAACGTTTCTATTTGTCCAGGCCTATCTTCATACTTTGAGAGAGTTTGAGACGTTTCAGGTAGATTTTGAACTGGCTTAAGAGATCCCATTACTCGAGATAAAATAAAAAGTCTAAAGAGGCTGGCTATTCTAAAATCAATTGACAGGATTACTCGAGATATAGCCGACACCTGACACCTAAAGACAGACGTTAAGTGATCTTAGTATGAATGCTTTTGACAGTACAGTACGTGTTTATTATATATTTATTTGGAAAAGATTTATACCCAGCAAACGAGACTGCAAACGGAAGCCAAATTGGAACGAGCACAATAATTGTGCAATTTACAAAAAGAAAAACAAAGAATACGAGAGGAAGTAATATAATAAACAAGAAAGCAATTTTTTTAGGATCAACGGGAATAGGCATGACGAATTTGGTATATATCTTATAATTTTTTTTTGTACATACTACGGACGACACCAATTTTTTACATATTTATATAAAATCTATTGTCGCACAGATTAACGGTCATGTGATATGTCCCCAAATTTTAAGGCAAATGTTATTAAAATTTCAAATCGTAATATCTTGGCCAATAATGATCCAATTTTTATGATCTAATAACCATTAGATTCGTCTTAGTAAGATGAATCTAATGAGCTATAAATTATCTGTTTCTGATCATTAGATTATAAGATAGAATTAACAGTACTTCAATTGATGTTTTATAATAAGTGTTATTCTAAAAATTATAAAATTATAACATTTGATTTGACTTAACAAGATGAATCTAATAAGCCAAAGATCAATAAAATCTGATCACTAGATAGTGAGATAATGTGTTCTATAGTAATGCTAAAATTTTTTATATATGTAAAAAAAAAAATTAATTAATTTTATATATAATATAACATTACATCCTAACAGGTATAATTTTTCAAATATTTTACTATCATAATGTTCAAATATTTTATTTTTCAAAAAATCAATTTATTAATATTGTTACAGCAACAGTTTTAAATAATCTTTGATTAAAATTATTAAAAATAAATATTTTTACAATACAGTAAATTTACAGTTTTTCTATATAAAACTCAAAAACGGCAGTCTAAATCTATTTTTTAAGATTAATTAAATTTGTAGCCCTAATAGGTATACACATAATTACAAATTTATAGACTCACACAATAAATAAATAAGTTTCACGTCCTAATTTCGTGCTTAATTTTAATGATTTTAACAGTTTATCTATTTATAACACAAAATTAGCATTCTAAATTTACTTTTTGAGATTATTTAAATTTGTAGCCCCAATAAAATTACACATAATTGCAGATTTATAGACTCGCGCATTAAATGGATAAGTCTTACGCCCTAATTTCGTGCTTAATTTTAACGATTTTAACAGTTTATCTATGTATAACTCAAAATTAGCATTCTAAATCAAACTTTTAGTATTAATTAAATATGTAGCCCTAATAATGTTACATATAATTACAAATTTATAGACTCATGCAATAAATGAATAAGGCTCACGCACTAATTTCGTGCTTAATTTTAATGATTTTAACAGTTTATCTATGTATAACTCAAAATTGGCATTCTAAATCAAAATTTTAAGATTAATTAAATTTGTAGCTCTGATAAAATTACGTATAACTCTTAAATTTGGGATCACTTTAATTAATAGCTCCAGAAATATTAAAAAAGTTCATAAAAGTCAAGAAAGTTTTGTGCTACGCCAAATCAAATTTTTTTACTTATAGATCGGCATAATGCATTTCTTCAATTTTAATTTGAAAATTACGTTTACACCACTTTTGCTTATATGTTCACTACATGTTTTTACAATAAAACATCCCATAATTTTATCATGCAAGATACATTAGGTTATATTCTTTTTATAAATCAATTTATTTTTACTATTATAACAATAGTTTTAAATAATCTTAATTATAAGTAAAATAAATTATTTTTGTAGCGCAGCAATTTCTTTTAACAATTTTAACAGTTTATTTATGTATAACTCAAAATTGGCATTCAAAATCTACTTTTTATGATTATTTAAATTTGTAGCCCCAATAAAATTACACATAATTGCAGATTTACAGACTCACACAATAAATGAACAAGTCTCACTCCCTAATTTCATGCTTAATTTTAACGATTTTAACAGTTTATTTATATATAACTAAAAATTGGCATTCTAAATCAAACTTTTAATTGTCTGAAGCATAAGCGTAGGACACTTCCATTTTACTCTATACCATGCATGTTGATGTCTGTCCACACACGTGTATGGCCAATAAAATCTAAGGATAAGGTGTAACCCTAGATTTGTTTACGTGCATTACATTTTTTGTTTATGCCTCTGATTCTAAAAATTACTTTATAAAATCACATGACACATGACTGTTTACACGTTAAAAATATCTTAATTTTATTATTTTGTTTTTTGTCCTCCCTTATTTAAAATTTTTTTAAGTTATTTCTTAAAAGTTTTTTATGGCATTCAAAAAATAGTAATTAAATTTTTTTTATTATTTATAATTTTTACAATATATTTGATTTTTTTAATTAAAAATTAAAATAAAAATAAAAATAAATAAAAAAATAAAATAATTGTATTCATAAATATTATATACCATTGAATTTTTTATTGCTGTGTTGTTGTTTTCGTTGATATTAATTGCTTGTAAAATCGTAAATCAAATGGTTTCCCAGCCACTTCATGATATATTACGAAAATGAAAAAACAGAGCGGATGAAACTGTTGAGCAACGTGAAAATAGACTGGTTCAGGACAAAGAAAATAAATGCGTAAAAAGAGCAACTAAGACTGCAGAACAACGTGAATTACGATTGCAAAAAAAATGTGAACGTTACCATATGAAAAGAAAAGAAAGGCTTGTTTTATCAAATATTAAAGAGCAACTCAACAGACAGGATGAACTAACGCAAAATGATTCTGATGAATCTCAACTTCCTGAAACTGATAGAAAACTTCTACATAACTTTCGCACTAAGATTAATAGCTTCATAAATAAGTTTTGCCCTGTGTGTAATGAACGATTTCCATCTATCGAACTAATAAGTGGACAATGTCGTCACTGCTACTATGACAAAAATACTGTTAAAAAGTTTTCTGCTGATAACAATATGGATCCTGGTGATGTGCCAGAAGAATTACGTGATCTTACCAAAATAAAGGAAATGTTGATTGCAAGGATCTTTCCTATTGTTTCAGTATATTGTCTTCTACTAGTCGAAATAAGGCAAATCGGACATGTGATAAATCAGCTGAAAATCAAACTAAATTCAGCTAAAATTCAGAAAATTTACATAATTCGGCATTTCCAATTTATAACAATCAGAAAATTTACACAATTTGACATTTCCGATTTATAACAATCAGACAATTTACACAATTCGGCATTTCCGATTTATGGTAATAAAAATTTGACATTTAATTTAAAATTAGCATATGATAAAATCATTAATTTCGGCCTAATTTTAATTTTGGCCAAAATTAAGACCGAGTTTCAGCCTAATTTCTGCATTTTTGGCATTTGAACTTTAATTAAAGTTAATTCTTATCCTCCCAAACTCAATAAATCCGGATAAATCATAATAAATATAATAAATCATAATAAATTTGACATTTAATTTAAAATTAGCATATGATAAAATTGTTAAAGTTAATTCTTATCCTTCCAAACTCGATCAAATACTAATAAATCTGGATAAATCATAATAAATCCAGTTTTAATCTATAAATTGACAAATAAGAATCTATTAGCGAATATGGTATTTTTTATTTATTTGATTTACGGCTAAATACTCTCTTGCATTTCTTTGGTCTGAAATTCAGTAATTTATTGGAATAAATCGACTAAGAATATGATGAACCGGAATAATACAATCACGTGACTCTTGATAAAATTCGGCGCACCATAGCACAAGTATTAATATCATTATCACTACTGAAATAATATCGAATATTTCTAGAGCCTGCATGTTTATACCATCGGACATAAGCCAAAAAATGCTTGGCAGGACCATTCGGAAGGTCAACTGTATGAGTAAAATAATATTGAACTTGACCAGGGTAAACGTCAACATCATCGTCAATCGTTATAAATTTTGCCGTAACAAATGAACTTTTCACATGATGAGACGACATTTTTGAGCTGAATATTTCAGAACCAATTCTGCATCTTCCGAATTGATTCATTCTGACGCGAATAATAATTGAATCTTCGGGTCCTTCTCCAAATGGTTTTTGGAAGTTATTTGCTGGGTAGGTCACATTATAATAATCTACCATTATGTCAAGCATTTCACTTGACATTATAACTTTTTCTGAGGAAGAGCCTAGCATTTCTCCTGGAAATGCTTCGCATCCAGCAATCGGAGATTCTTTAATATTTTGCGAGTATAGCAAATATCGCTCCATTTCAACTGAAGTAAATTCGTCGGGTTCTGAAATTGAACCGACTGAAGGTCTGGTATCAAGTATATCAAGACCTTTTGTATCAACTATTCCAGAACTAACAATATTATTAATTTGTTTATCGTTCATAATTCGGCGCATGAGCTTTGGTTCAATTTTCCGATGGCTATTAGGCAAAGAACCTAAAAAATAAATAAAGGAATGGAATTTAAAATTAATTTTAGAAGAAAAAGGATATTTTTAGAAGTCAGCATCTTACCTAGCACGCCATTCATGCACTTGAACAAAAAATACCAAAAAGCGTAAAGAGGCCCAAAATCTTTTGCACATTCGTATAAATGAAGCGAAAGGTGAAGGTTTGGAGTTATCATATCTCGACCGTAATTTTGCTCAATTATTTTTACGATTTTAACCAATTTTTGGTGAGCTTCATCCATTAAATTGGATTGAACAATTTGTCCTACCAAAATCGAGCAAATTCTTACAAAGCGTATAAGAATCTTCTTATCTACGCCAAAAAGGTGTTTCCAAAGTGACACTGTGGCATAAATGTTAAAAAATATTCACCACTGATCAGCCGTAAAATTCGCAAAACCTTTGCCACATTCCACCTTTCCTGGGATCCTACCTATGTCAACTGGTACTTGGAATTGATTCATTTTCTTTTGAATTTCTTTTAGAATTTCCGGTTTTAATATATTTTCATCAACCCAAATCCGCTTAACAATCCACTTTGCAATGCCTAAGAATAGGCAGTGCATTGGATCAATTGATAAAAACCGAATTGGGTCAAAATATGGCAATCTCAGCAATTCAGACCACCTTACGCCAGTAGTTTTTACAAAGTGATTCCTTACAGCATTTGAATTGCAGCGACGCCATTCAAGGGCATTCTCGCGAAATTGTGCTGAATCTCGATTGATGAACCATTCGCTCATATTATCCATTCCAGCGAAATTATGTTTATGATTTTCATAATTTGCTTTCTTCTCACATCTATAACACAATGAAAGGGCTGAAATATGCCCATATATTTTTCTTGCCACGGGAATGTCACATGAAACAAGTATCAGTGCCGCTCGAATTTTTCTTGGTTCTTGGTACTCAAAAGTATTATCAAACATCACTCCGTCCCAAAGTAACACTAATTCGTTGACAATTGGCGCCAAATAATGGTTAATTTGGTGAAGACTCACTTCGTTTGAGCCGGGCAACAAACCAAGAACTAACATATTTTTACGTTTAAACCGCATATCTTGTGGTAGATTACAAATTGCGGCATATATTACTCCGGTACTATGAATAATACCATCATATGGTTAAAACCAGTCGAGATTCAAATTAAACCAAGATTAAAATCGGCCACTTCAGGTCAAAAAAATTTCGCTGAATTTTCATCGCTTGTTTCTTTAAAATTTTTCCAGACCTGACTGTCATAGATATCAGTTAAAATATTGTCAAATCATTTGCGTTCAGACCAGTGACGTAAATTTCTTTCAAATCCCGGTTGGCAATACATTGATGCTAATTGATTTCTGATACTAGCAAATGGAAATATCTTCTCAGATTGAATTTTAATACGGCTATGTAATAACGTTGATCTTTTTGCTAAAGGCGTCTGGCATTGTTTTAATCTCCTGAATGTCGAATTAGGAAATTCGACATGACTACACTTCATAACTGTAAGATTTCCATTTTGCTGAAATTCTTCTACTTCCTTTTTATTATATAATTTGTGGCATTTCAGACATGCCGGCATGCCGCAAAGTTATGATATTGATCTTTTAGCCCAAGAACATTTCTTGCTAAGTATAAAGAGCCAGAAAATTCTTCAAAATTAGAACTGCCGATTTCTATCAATAACAGCTTTATGAATTGAATAAGTGCTTCTGTTGCTGTTTCTGGAATATTAAATCTTTTGCGAAAGCTTATTATCCACAGCAAAATTCACAAAAATTGTCTATTGGCATTTGTGTCTGGACTAATTCGATCTTGAAATTGCTCATAAACAGGTGGGCATAATTCTCAAAAATTTCAGTATACTTATAATCATTATTATTGCCGTTATTGATTTCACTTTTATTTGATTCTTCGTCAGTTTCATTTGATTCTTTGTCAGTTTCGCTTGATTCTTCATCAGTTATGAATAATTCTGGAGGAATTTTTTCTTCGGTAATTGTTGCTTGTTGATTTGCGTATCTTCTTGAACGTTGTCGATGAAGTAAATCAGTTGATAAGTCGTCTATTTCCTCTATTTCCATTCGTTGAATTACGTTCTGATTATTATCTGAATCTTTGTCAGACAATACTGGGTTATCTTCTGGTAAAGAATTACCATAATCTTCAGATGATGATGGTAAAGGATTACTATAATCTTCAAATGATGATGGTAAAGGATTACTATAATCTTGAACAACTTCTGAATCTTGGTCATCATCCGAATCTCGATCAGCCTCATGGTTCAATTTTGTATGAACATCTACTATTTTTCCGTTACATTTAGAACAATTGCAAGGAACTATTCTTCTGTCATGTGTATGTATAATCGAAGTTGATTCTTCAGATTCTTCATCAATTGCTCTAGAGATCGCGAAGAGCAAGCTGTAATTGATTCTTCATCATTGCTAAGTAAAGCAGAAACTGATCTCTTTCGTCTACTCATTTTATGAAATAAAAAATTTGCAGTATTTATCTCAATATATTTTTAAATAATGTCAATTTAATTCTTTTTAAAAAGTAAATTCCTGCTGCGCTACAAATCGAACAAATTCAATTTCACATTATAAATCGCCATAATATGTTGTCAATTATTCAATTAAGATTATTTTTTAAAGAACAATATAAAAAATTCGCCATATAATTAAAGTAATACATAGGAGTTAAATTAGATCCTTTTTTAAAGAACAATACAAGAAATTCGTCGTATAATCAAAAGAATAAAAAAGATCATTTAATCATTTAAGAGATAAATTTAATTGTTAAAAATTTTTTAAGGAATCGATGGTAATTACAATATCATGATAATTTGATTGTGATTAAGCTTATAAGAAAAAAGCTTAATTTGACTGATTTTAAGTTATAAAAGTTTAAATTTTGAATTTTTTCTCTCTCATCTCTCTTTTCTTTCTCTTTCTCTTAATTTTTTACTTTCACCATGTCCCAACAAGAAAAAAAAAAATTACCAAAGTTTATAAATATCCGTCTGAAATTACTCCTGCTGCTACCGCAGCCACCACTAGCAAAAGCGCTTCTGAAATTACTCCTGATGCCACCACTAGCAACGAAACTACTCCTGCGCCTGCTACCACTAGCAAATCGACTGTTACTTCAAAATCAAAAGTTCAGCATATGAAAGAACAATATAAAAATTTCAAGGTTCCAGATTCCTATTTAGAATAGCAAAAGGATCTTCGCCATAATTTAGACCTTGATGATGATAATCCATCTTTGGAAACTGGTATAATTGTAACAAAATTGCTAAAATTGGTTGCTGTTTTGGTTGCTTTACATTGAAAGTTTGTTTGTTTCTGAATTTGGTTAATAAATTTTAGAAAATCATAAATTACGTGTGACAATAGCCGATTTGTGTAATAAAAACACGAAGTTGGAGAAAACAAACGTAGATATTTCTAAGGAATTAAAAAGCTTAAAAGAGGATTTCAGTACGCTTATGGAAATTAACGATGCATTCAGTACAGAAAATGAAGAATTAAAAAGAAAAATCAGAATAAGTGAGATCGATGATATCGAATCCAAGCATCTTTCCAAAAAAGCCAAGGGCAAAAGAAGCGTAGTCCAAATAAGTGACGATGACGATAAAGATGAAGATGTTGATGACGACTTGATGGATTCCAAATCGAATGCAACTAAAGAATCACCTGAAGAGCTTAACGAAAGAGAAGCAAGGGGTTGTTGAGTTTTGACAATCATATTTGATACTAATTTTTGCAACTGATTTCAATACTAATTTCATCTTTTACGACAATTTACAAATTTTTATTAATTTAACACAATTCTAATTTAACACAATTCATATACTAACTTTTACAAATTACTAATTTTTTATTAATTTAACGCAAATTCATATACTAACTTTATAATTACTAATTTTTTACTAATTTAACGCAAATTCGTATACTAACTTTATAATTACTAATTTTATTAATTTCAACGCAAATTCGTATACTAACTTTATAATTACTAATTTTTTACTAATTTCAATAACTAACGTTTTTGGCACCACAAATTTATACCGAATTTTCTACTAACATATCTGTTTGTTGCTAATTTTATTATTTCATAATACTTTCTTTAATTTTCTTTTTCTAAATATCAATTAGATCGAAATGAAATCAATCTTAAAAACACTTAATGATAAATATAACTTAAACTACAATGAAACGTTTAACAGTGCAAAAAACATTAAAATTTGACGTAAATTAATTCCTGAAATCTGAAAATCACTTGCTCCGAATTATCGACCATCCTTTAACCAGGTAACAAGGTGGTAAAGTAGCCTACATAAATCTCAACGATCTAAGTTGAGTTTGAGGATGTCCGGCAAAGAAAGCATGGACAATCGACGAGTTCATGTCAATAATAGATTAAATGATGTATGTAATGTAATCTAGCGGCAAATTAATAATCCATATTAACTCATTTTAAATTTATCAATCAGAAAAAATTGCGAAGGATAAAGGCTGTGAAAGATCTCTTTAATAAAAAGGATAGCTGAATTATAAGTTATGGAAAACGGGATCTGTTAAAAATTCTGGCAAATCATGCATATCATTCACCGGAAGTGAGTGAAACCGAAGATGAAGGTTCAAAATCGGTCATTAATGTTTATGATCTATCGTGGCGCTCAGAAGAGGTTACTTATTTTATCTTGATAATTTATTTTGCTATAAATTTTCACTAATTCCGATTTTACTTATTTTCACTAATTCTGATTTTACTTATTTTTACATTTTCCGATTTTATTTATTTTTACATTTTAGTTGAAACTTTTATTAAGAAATATTCTTGATAAACATGTAAGAGTGGGACAAACGGTGAAGCAATTGCGATCTCGAAACTATGACGACAAGATACAATGCTATGATAAAGTACCACCAGATGATGCTCCTGATTGGTCATATATTGATCAACTGGATATGGTATATAACACAGAATATACAGACGATTTAAATATTGATGATGAAAATTTAGACGCAATTTTGGAAGATAAAGCGGATAAATCTGAAAGTTTTATGCAAGAAGATTAATGGTTAGAATAAGGTTGCTTGTCTAAACCTCTTCAAAATCCTACGATTAGTTTCATCAAAATTTTACTATAGATTTATTATAGTTTCGGCAGAGTTTTGGCAGTTTTGGCATTTATAATAAGTTTTGGCAGTTTCGCCTTTCTCCAAAGTTTCGCCAGTTTTTTAATATAACTTTAATATAGTTTTGGCAGAATTTCACTTTTCGGCAAAACGCCATCTTGCCTAAACCCTTAGGTTTCGGCAAGCAACCTTAGGTTGGAATTTCAGAATTCTATTTTATTACTAATTTACTCTTTTTTTTTTATTTTTGCGTATTATAGTATGTTTTATTACATATCTGAATTAATTTTACTCTTTTTTTAGTTTTGCGTATTATATATTATATTTTATAGCATATATAAATTTATTTTACTCTATTTTTTTAGTTTTACGTATTATAATATATTTTATAGTATATCTGAATAAGGTTGCTTGCCGAAACCTAGGGGTTTAGGCAAGATGGCGTTTCGCCGAAAAGCGAAATTCTGCCGAAACTATATTAAAGTTATATTAAAAACTGGCAAAACTTTGGAGAATGGCGAAACTGCCGAAACTTATTATAAATGCCGAAACTGCTGAAACTCTGCCGAAACTATAATAAATCTATAGTAAAATTTTGACAAAACTAATCGTAGGATTTTGAAGAGGTTTAGACAAGCAACCTTATATCTGAATTTATAAATTGAATTGTAATTGAATTATATCTGATTTATATCTGATTTATATAATAAATTTAGTTGATTTATGTCTAATTAATAGTGTCGAATTTAATAGTATTTGTTGATTTATATCCGATTTATATCTGATTTCTTATTCTGAATTATATCTGAGTGGCAACCACTCAGAACCCAAACGGAATATTGCCTTTTTAAAAAAATCGGTCAAAATTGAGTTATAAATCAGATTAAAATCAGATGATCGATTTCTATCTGATTTGAACAATTTCGACTAGTGTACATTACAGATAGTAATACTTAAATTGTTAATATCACTTGAGCAGAGGCGCTAAAGCATGATCATGAGGAAGAGAATAATCACCAGGTCATGAATGAGCTTAAAGTATTATCCCAATACCTGCTTGATTATAATAAAAGAACTTTCGTTCAAAATAGTTTATAATTGGAATATATTGTGGCTCATATATAGACTTATTTGACACAAATTTAGATATAAAAATGGTATAAATCTATGTACAAAAATAGATTAAAAATTTGATTAAACTTAAAATAAATACAATACAAATTTTATGTCAAATAGGCTCACTATATAGTACATAACTTATGGATATAAATTTGGTATAAATTGATGCAAAACTTTTTATTGGGCAGTATATAATATAGAATAAATTTATTTTTTTAAAGTACAGTCAAAACTTGATATAACAATTTGTGATAAACTGATTTTGACTTATAATGAACTTTTTTCTCAAACTAAAACCACTTATAATTAATTTTATTACTATATAATGATTTTATTATAAATTTTTGATATTATATATAATGAAGTCTAGTTGTAAACCACTAATATGTATTTGTTCACGATTAACAGATACTGATTTTTTTCTCAATTTACTGATCATTATTATAAAAAAAAGATTTTTTACTTTATTTAATGATCATCAATATAAAAATAAAATATTTTTTTATATAATGAATTATTCTTAATATAGTAATATAACAAGTGTTAATTGATCAAATTATAAATATTTGTTACCATAGATCAAAAAAAATATTTCTTTTAACTATACTTCACTATATCTTCTGAAAAAAATGTGTTACATTATCTATAGGATAAAAGAAAGAGCTTTGTCTTAAAAAAGCTGATAATCCATTCATGTCAAATACTGAACTTGCTAAATATTACAATATCAAGCCTAATATGGTTAGCGATATTTTAAAAAGAAAATCCAAATATTTATCTATCTCTAATTCTGAATAGGATAGAAAAAGGTTTTGAGAGTCCATGTATAAAGAAATAGATGAGGCAATTAGTATTTGGATGTCTCAGTTTTTGTCTATGAATCAAATATTATGTGAAGATATATTACAACAAAAGGCCAAATTGTTTGCATATAAATTTGGCATTACAGGATTCAGTACATCTGCAAATTGGTTAACTAATTTTAAAAAAAGAAATAATCTTCGATCATATGTTAAATCAGGTAAGGCTGCTAATGCACCTGATATTGATAAGCTTAATAAATACTGGACAACAATTGCTGAAAAATTATTTGAATATGATTTGCAAGATATTTATAACTGTGATGAAACAAATAATCTAAATCAATTATTATTTACCCAGCTCTTTTTTGGCAATTAGAACCTTTAAAAAACATTTGCACGAGGTCCTGTAATTGGAACTAAAAAATCCAAAAACAGAGTTACTATTTATTTTACTAACATGCAATGCTACAGGTGAAAATAAATTTAAGCCATTATTTATACATAATTATAAAAATTCTCAACCCCTTCATGATGTATCTGTTAAAGATAATGTAGATTATTATTGGAATAAAACTGCATAGATGCAACAGTCAATTTGGTTAGACTATTTAAAAAATTTAAATAGTTTAATGTGTACTCAGGGAAAAAACATTCTTTTATTAGTAGATAATGCTCCTATTTATGGAAAAGAAGATGATATTCCTTCTTTTAGTAATATTGAATTATGTTATTTACCATCAAACACCATCAGCAAGTTTTAAACAGGCGTATAAAGTGTTGAAAAACGCCATGTGTTGCTCAACACCAAAAAGTGTAGAGATACGAACCCTTTGTCAATCAACACCACTTAAAAATGTTGAAAACCGCGTAGTGCAACAGTGTTTTATGTGTAAAACAACATACAGTAAAATAACACTAGTTTAATAACGTGTATATAATGTATAAAAACGCGTATATTGATATTAAAAACGCGTATAGCAATGTAGTTAATTTAATAGTATTAATTTATTAATATATATATTATTGTATATTATTAACATTTCATTAATTGTAAATTTATTTATAAATACAGTTACAATACAAATTACATTAAATTATCAAATTATCTAATGAAAAATCAATTCCTCTTGTTATAATTGGATTGCTGCGGATTTTTAAGCGATCAACGTACTAAATTTCCGTTGACAAAGCGCCCCTGGTGACACAACCATAACAAGATAAGGTTTCAAATAAAAAAAACACAAAAATTAAGTTTCGTTAACGAAACTTACACAATCTTATTCTAAAAATCTGACCGAGGACTACAAAAAGAAAAGAGAAATTTAAAAAAAAAATAAAAAAAATAAAATAAAAAAATGTAAGTTTTATTCGAAACTTACCAATTCATTCCAAAATGCTAATCTACAGCAACGCCATGTCTAACGTTGAGAAATCTAATTAAAAGTCCAACGCTGAAGGAACCGGATACCTATAAAAAATAGATAAAAAAAACAAATTAAAAAAACCCAAGATTCGTATCATAATACGAATCTTTGGTTTTTTTTTCCATTATTCGGAACTCGGAAGCCCACCCGAACCTATAAAAAAAAGAAAGAACGGTTAGTAAACC